TCTCTCTCTCTCTCTCTCTCTCTCTCTCTCTCTCAATTAAAGCAAATGTGAATATATATGTTATATGCCATCTTGATAATTTGTAGTAATATATTGTAGGGAAAGGGCTTAATATAAGTTGTAAAACTTGTGCCCAACTCCCATTGTATATAAATTACAATAAAATATGTTTAAACCAAATAAGATATGGATTCGTTTACTTGAGTATTTGTTGAAAACGCAACAATAGTGGTTTTGTTCAGGGAGAAAGTTATAAGAATTAAAATGACCAAAACATAGAAATAAATTAAGAAATTACAAGATGTAAATGAAATATCAATAAGAGACAAGTTATCAACGATGAAATTGCCTGAAAATATGTAATTATCGAAAACCGAAAAAAATGCAAGTTGTGTTCGCAAATTACAAAATATGTTCTATTTTGACACGTACGGGCTTCCATACGTTTTATGCTCCAAACAATCTGATGCATTAGATGCATTAATATTTTTCCCGTTGACGGTTTTTAAAAGTATAGTTAATTAATTTGCACTAGTAACCATATCTATTCATCCCTATTGTTTTTTATCCAAATTTTGAGGATATTGTCGGTGACAAATAAAGAAATAGATAGCGTGATGTCATGTCAACAGACAAAAAATATTAAAATCATAAAAACATCTATTTATGACATAATCACTTATGGATTGTACTCTCGAACAGTTCATCGAATACAAGAACTTTTAAACTGATAACTAGATGTATACTAGATGTACGTGTATTTATCAACGATGACAGCGAAGGAAACATGCGTCGTCTGCAAAATTACCTCCCTTTACAGCACTTTACATATATACGGCGGCCCATACAGGCCATATCAATAGTAGGCAATATTTCACACAAAAAACACGAAAATTAGTCATTTCCCCCTTTTTCGATTTCTTTCGAATTTTAACATGTGATATATACCTACACGATCTACTTATTACAACTGTGTTTGGTTCTTTTGCAATTTGTTTGAGGTATGATGGTAGAATGGTTAGACTATGACGGTATTGGCTCTGGATTGAGCTGGGTCACGATTCAGTGACTGTTGTGGGAACTGTGTTGTGGTTCCGTGGAACTTTTGTATCAAAAGGTGATAAGCATAATCCTCTAGCATAATAAGTAATCATTATATTAATAATTATCTCAATATATAATTAATCTTATGTGATATATGTGCGGCTGCTTTCGATAAGTAAGGGGCCGCGGTGGCCAAGTGGTAAAGGCGTCTGACATTCTGCTACCACTAGCCCCCACTGGGTCGCGGGTTCAAGGCTTACGTAGGCAGTCGCCAGGTACTCACCGCAGGTCGGTAGGATTTCTCCGGGTACTCCCGCTTTCCTCCACCACCAAAAACCTAGTACGTCCTTAAATGATCATAGCTGTCAATAGGACGTGAAACACAAACAAACAGCACCAAACTTTCTATCAATAATGTCCCGTCGTTAAGTCTTGACTCATTATAAAAAAAGGCTATTTTGATTATTGTATACTTTGAAATATTTGAAGCAGTTTAACTTCCGCCTTTTATCGTATTTCGTAATGAGGGCGGGTTTACAAATGTATCATACTGTTCTTATTTTAAGTCCTGATTCATCAGAGATTAGGGTATTTCTCTTGTAAACACCTTTTCCCGGGAATATTTTTGATACAGGGTAACTTTCGCCTTTTTTGCCAATCGAATGAGGGTGAATTTACCATTACAGCTAATTTTAATTATCAACATCATATACAAAGGAAGCAAATGTGAAAGACGAAGTTAAAGATGTGCAAATGTGGGCTTTAAAGGCGAACTACAAACGTTGGTCTAGGCGACTGTTTCTCGCCATATGTTTTATAAAGGAATCGATAAATGTGAATATTTGGTAGAATAACAACATGGTGGTACTATTTGTCTGTTGGTTCATTTGAACAAAATCTTAATAATACAAGATCGCCGACTCAAAGCATTCAACGGAACATTGGAAGGCACAATGCTTTAGTCGCGTAATGGAGTTGTAATATTGATCCGCTTTGATGTAATCGGTACAAAACAAAGGAAAATTATACTTACACAGTAGTTATGTAATGGAATAATATAACTGATTTGATTGGACAATAATTATTTTAATAACAAAAAATTCTACGAAGCTCAAATGGATATGTGGTGATTGTCTTAGGAAAGCTACGGTACATCGATCTTCTAAATACTTTTTATGACTATCACTTGATGTGTGTAATCCATGACTATCATATCTCCGCATGTCGGGTAAAGAAAAAGGAATACCTCAGCTGTTACTCACTTCATAGTCGTAGCAGGTGATTAACGTGGGAACCAATGCTGGTGGATGGATGGATGACGGGTTTCGCGCCTACATGAACCCGCCCTTACGGGTTTCATCTCACTGACAGAAGTCAGTGTTCAGTCGGCGTGAGGGAAGTTGCCTTCCCTCGGGGGGTGGTTTGGAGTCGTCTATTCTATCCTATCCTTATCTTGTGTTGTAATTTGGAGACGACTCCTTGGTCCGAAATGGTGTCTTGCCGGATGATGTATCTGTGATTGTTGATCCTTACTAATGTATTTGTGTCGTTGAGGGGACTCGAAATTGGCCAATGTGGCTTATATTAATGTAGGCATGTATATGTACTTAAAAATAAAAAAAGTATTTGTCTATTTTTAAAGTGTATTTATTGCATATATTCCTGTTCTTATAGGGAGGTATATATATTATATTTGTTATGTACCTCGGGGTCTCTTACTGCCGATTGAGCCCAACAGTAGGGAAACGTCTCTGCTTCCGTTAGGTACAGTACTTTGTTTCCTTGTCAGACTTGGCCGGAGTTTGAGATTATCCGAGGGGTCCCTATGGTGAATGCAGATTTTACCCTTAATTCTTTGGTGTATGTCTAATTAAAAAAAAAAAAAAAAAAAAAAATTAAAAAAAAAATGGTTGTTAGTATTTGGTCTTATGGGGGTCTTTAAGTTGTTGGGCTTATTCTATATGTGTTTTATTGGAATTTTTCTTATATAAAAAAGGGATGGGGAGATCATCGGTCGTATCATATCATGGCGTTGGTCTAGGAGGAGGGTGTATCGTATCCAGGCTTTTTTTTTTTTTTTATATCCTACTCTATTTTGTTTTTTATTTTGTTCCTATATTTTGAAGTCCGTCGAATCATCGATAATAAATGTAATATAATCTATCCCTATCCTTTGTGTCGGCGTTAACGCGCCTACTCTTTCGACAATACACAGAGGGATTTTTTACGCGCAGGTTGGACCCTCCTACACGGGACACCGTTTATAGTCCCCTCCGCCGGACTGTATGGTGGTGGTGAGTGGTTAGTATCATGCAGGTGGTAGTTAATCTTGTTTTTGGCGTCCATTTTTGTAACCGTATCCATTCTTGCATTTGATGAAAAACTTTTCTTCAGTATCAATGTTCTCTTTCCTATAAAACTTTCCTTTAGCTTTCTTCTGTAACTGTTCACTTTTCTGACTTTTATAATTATTTTGTGAGTATTAGTATAATATAGTTGTTGGTGATAGGACGGAATAGGTAGGTGCGACGAATTGTGCATTGGTGAGAGTATCAGTAGGTAGAGGAGAGTTGAGGTGGTGCAGATATGGGGTGTAGGGGGCGGGGGGTTGTCGGGTTTGCGCATTGGGTTTTTCTTTAGAGTTATATTAGTGCTTATATAGTTATTAGATCGGGAGTTGATGGGGGGAGGGGTTATGTTGTTATAATAAGATGTTTTGTGTGGTTCAATGATCGAATAGGGGTTGTTTGGAAATTTTTCGGGTTCTAATGGGTATTGGATTGAAATTTATGTTATTGAGAAAGTCGGGGGTGTTTTCTGGGAGCTATCGGGTTCGAGTGGTTGTTGTAAATATTTCGATCCTACATGGGTTAGATTCAGTTCAAAGGAGTAAAAAACAAATTTTCGCTATATATGTTTGACTAGGCCGTGATAGAGGACCTGTTCGCTTTTGTAAGCACGGTTTTAATTGGTTATGTGTTAAAAGTAGGGACTGGTTAGGAATGGGTAAGGGATACGTATGTGTTTATGTGAATGTTTGTGTGGTTGTGCAAATAAACTGAATAAAAAATGAATAATCTAATCAATCAAGAACAAAAAAAAAGAACAAAAAAAAAAGGGATCCATTTGTGGGTTCTTATGTATACATATATATTTGGGCGGTTAGACATAAGACTGCTGTGGAGTGGCAGACTCGTTCGTAAACGAAACTACCCGCACGTGGTCAGAACACATACGTTGCAGCATTCTTATACCAACCGTAGGTGAAATGTTTTAGAATTTAATAAATGTTTATTAGTTTTTGTAAGATAATTTTACTTTGTTTATTATTATGAGTGATTGGATATTGTCATTATTACACTATTCGCTGTGTTAGATAAACAGATATTGATTATTAGTTCATTATTTGTTTATCCCGATATTCCTACCTAACTAATAGGTCCATATAGCACCATTGGCCTCCCTCCTTTACCCGCGCTAACCTTGTGGGGTTTGACGCCGAATGAGCGAGAGGACCTATTTTACGGGTCGTATTATACAGTTTATAGTGGTAATACAGTTCTATCCTATTTTATATCCACCGTTTAAGCTTTGAACATTCTAACACAGCGTACCGCTTCAGATTGTACATCGCCCCACGGTGGTACATATATATGTATCCATTTGTAGGAACTCATGTATACATATATATGAGCGGTTAGATATAAGATTGCTGTGGGGTGGCAGACTCGTTCGTAAACGGAACTACCCGCACGTGGTCAGAACACATTCGTTGCAGCATTCTTATATCAACCGTAGGTGAAATGTTTTAGAATTTAATAAATGTTTATTAGTTTTGTAAGATTAATTTACTTTGTTTATTATTATGAGTGATTGGATATTGTCATGATTACACTATTCGCTGTGTTAGATAAACAGATATTGATTATCAGTTCATTATTTGCTAATCCCGTCATTCCTACCTAACTAATAGGTCCATATAACACCATTGGCCTCCCTCCTTTACCCGCGCTAACCTTGTGGGGTTTGACGCCGAATGAGCGAGAGGACCTATTTTAAGGGTCGTATTATACAGTTTATAGTGGTTATACAGTTCTATCCTATTTTATATCCATTGTTTAAGCTTTGAACATTCTAAAAACGGCGTACCGCTTCAGATTAATTTTTTTGTACATCGCCCCACGGTGGTACATATATATATATTCATTTGTAGGTACTCCTGTATACATATATATGAGCGGCTAGACATAAGATTGCTGTGGGGTGGCAGACTCGTTCGTAAACGGAGCTACCCGAACGTGGTCAGAACACATACGTTGCAGCTTTCCTATATTTCCAATGCTGAGTGGGGGATTTGCTTTTGTACCATCTACTTGGGGACATAAAAATGACTAAAATAAATCTAATGCACCCATTGCAATATTTGCAAATATCTTCGCCTTTCTTTTTGACTTCTAACGACATTTATTTTCCAACCGCTTTCCTTGGCAAACCTTCAGTTTTGGCATTAATGTTGAAGGTTGCCCATTTAAGATAACATAACATACTAACAGAACCAGTATAGCTCCTGAAGATAGCCAGGAGGCCGAAACTTTTAAATGATAATACGGAGCTGAAGATATCTCATTATAAAGTCTTTTATTTAATTGAGCTTAATATTTACATCTGTTTTATAGCCAACTGGAGCTCCACCATGGTTTGCTGCAAAGAGGGAAAATCGATGTACATAATTATAGGATTGAACATAATATTCATGGTAAGTTGTAGTTAAGAGCTGAATTCAGAAGTGAAAGTGAATGGAACTTGATGGCAAATGTGAATGTCACGATACGTGTTCTTTTAAAGTGCACTTGGCATGTGATATGGACAGGATTGCACATACACTCAACCCATTCCCCGGTATTAATGATTCGTGTGCACTTAAGGAACTCTGTCAATTTACCCGTATTCATAATTCAAGTAAACGTATGAAGCTCACTCTAATTTCATAGCTACTTGCATGTATTAATGATTATAGAACCCTTACATGTACAAAGCTCAATCAAATAACCGGTCTTAAAGATTCGAGTACACTTACAAAGCCTTATCTAGTTAATCGTTATAATGATACACTTACGAAAGTTAGCCCATTTATCTGTATTAATGACCGAGTGCACTTGTAAAACCCAATCTACATACTTGTATTAATGTTTTAAGTATGGTCAAGAAACTCAATTTAGTTAGTGGTCTCACTGATTCGAGTAAATTTATGAAGCTGATTCTAGTTAATGGTCATAATGACTGGTTTACACATAATAAACTCAACCCACTTACAGGTATTAATAACTGAGTGCAATAGGAAAACCCAATCTCCATTTTTGTATTAATGTTTCAAGTACTGTTAAGAAACTCAATCCACTCAGTTGTATTAATAATTCGGGTACACTCAATTAACTAAATCAAGTTACCTGTCCTAATATTTCAAGTCAATTTATCAAGATAAATATACTTACATGTATTGATCTTTCGAGTCCAATCAGGAAACATAATTCATTTTCTTTTATCAGTAATTCGTTATGAGTATCATTATCAAATTGAATATTATCTGACGTAACAAAATTTCTAACATTTATGTTTCATCTAGCTTGGTCATGTGAGAAATGTTAGCGTAACTATATGGTGCGTCATATTTTTTTTTCAACTGTTTCATACCTGGCTTTAGGTACTTGGTCTAGCCGTCATGTTCCCAGGATTAGCTATGCTGACAAATATTTACTTCCTGAGCGGCAACATTGAACCCTTACTGGACAAGATATTCTTCAATGACATCAATCCGTCAAGCATTGCTAACAACCTCCCAATCATCTTTATCATCGTCGGCGCGTCGATACTCTTCATAGCTGCACTCGGACTGGTTGGAGTCTGCTGTAAAATAAAAACCTTGGTTGTTCTGATAGGTAACGCCACAGTATTCAAAACACTTTATAAGATAAATATCAATGTTCTGTATACCATACTATCAATTCCAAACAAAATTCATATATAGATACTATCCATTTTTCACCAACATGTGTTTGTTGTTTGATAAACATCTGCTTTATTTTTAGATAAATGTTAATGTTGTGTATACCATACTATCATTTCCGACAAAAATTCATATATAGATACTATCCACTTTTCGTTAACATGTGTTTGTGATTGATTAACATCTGCTGTATCATATTTCAATACATTTCACACAATTTACTGTATACCAAGAAACTTTCGACCAGTCAAATAGTCGCCCCTTGCCGACAAAATTCTTGTTCACCCAGTGTAAATTTCGCCGTTAACATGCAATTAATATGTAGTGTATACTTTTGACTAATATTCGCTGTCATGATAAATTCGCCTTCACTTGTCAAAACAGGCGAAAGTTATACTGCGTGGAAATCTTCATCAGTTTACAATATCGCTTTTAAAAGCTATAATGCAGGGCATAAACTGATTTGGAAGTGATAATAAAAAGATAGAAATAATTTTAAAAGTTATAATGCAGGTTGGGAGTGATAACAAAATGATTATAATTTCTCGATATGAAGGTTGGCCATCAACTAGGATTTTTTTACTGCGATTGTCACGTCAGTTTATAATCGAGAGATATTACTTTTGATATAGGGACTGCCGAATTATTCAGCAATTCCTGATCCACTCTTGATCTCGGCAATTTTGCAAACACGATATACTATATTGGCTTTGTGGAGTATCCGTTTATTGCATTTGTGACACTAAGCAATGTCCATTAATTAGTCAGCCCAATTTAACAAAAAGGTTCAGGTATTGTTACCCATATGTCATGCAACTATATTTGCGTTCTATTTTTATGTTTCAGTACGACCGCATTGCTTTAGTACTGATCGTGGTTCAATACATCATATGGGTGTTCTTCATCGTTCTGAGGGCCAAGGTATGTGCAATCAGTTCAGTAATTATAAATAAGAACTCCTATAGTATCTTTTAAAAAATACACTACTATGTCAATTTATATTAGCAAGCTGTTCCAAAATATCCACACAAGGTGACGTTATTTCAACATTATTGTATCATTGATTAGATCATTGTAAACATGAAAATACGTGATTTTAGATTTTGACTTGATCTTTTTACAATTTTTAAAATACAGCACGTCAATATGTTCCTATCAAGTTACTTCAATTGTAACGACACAACTATATTAATAGTTCTTACATTCAATTCGATATTCTTAGAATGAACGCCTATATTAGTTTTCAGGAATTATAACTTATAGCATTTTTCAATATCTAACAGAAAAAAATATAAACTGCAAAAGTGCTAACATAAGAGTAATACATTTTATTTCTTGTTCTAGTTGCATTATACTATAAAGAATGAGTTCCTGAGCCAACTACAGTCAAGCTACACAAAAGATGACCTGAACAAGAGTGACGAAGTGTCTTCAGCGTTCAATTATATGTTTATGCAGGTAAAGTCACGTTATGTTATACAATCCGTCAAGTAGAGCTTTATAACGATGCACGGTTTTGAAGACAATGGGAAATCGACATGATCTTAAAGGGAAATATGCAATTTCTTTGTGCAATATGGAGATCGATTATTCATATTATGCCTTGTTGTTTGTTTGTGACAATCCTAGTTCCCGCTTTGAGGTCGAGGCATTATATGGATTTGACCTTTGAATGAGGGTTGTCATCAATACAGCAAAAGACATTCACCCTTCCGGAACACTTGGTCTTATTCTCCTTGATCTTGTTGAAAGATCTCCGCGTCAATCTTTCTTTTGTTAACCCGTTCACCCCTATGTAACTTTAGTAGACTCTACCATGCATTGATAAGGAGGGGTCCATTATGGTCTACATTGGTGAAAGGGTTAAAGTTTTGCACTAGTTTTACAGATGAAGGTTTCAAAATAAGGAGTTTGTTGACATTTCGGTATTCCCTGGTTTGTTTTACCCATATGGATTAATTTTTCAACTACTGAACCTTGTGTGCTGGTGTTATTATTAATTACGTTTGCTTGTATGGGGTTTGATATCCTCGGAACAGTTAAGGTCTTACATGTATGACGACGGGTGTCCAGCGAGATATTCGCCGAAAAGTAAGAGTGAAATAATGAGAGAGAAAATAAATTTTTCAATGTGGTCAGCAGACCAAATTTTTAGCTTTCCACTAAGCAGTTGACATAGACGAGAATCCCCGAATGTGCAAGAGATTCCATATATGTCACCTCTTCGACATGCTTTGTGATACAGCAGGCTTTTAACCTCCGAATCTGAAGGGGATAAAGTAAGAGAAAAAAAAGTATTAAAATATATAGATATATATGATAAAATATCATTCAAACATAGAAACGACCGAGATGTAGTGAATAGTCAGTGTAGAAAAAGTTGACCGCTGCCGAAAAGACGCGTCAATATAGAATATTTTAAATGAGGTTGCAAGGAGAAGCAAGTACTCTATACTTAATTACTTCTTTCGATAGATGGAGTGCTGTGGTGTGAATCCGGTAACCGCGACAACAAACGACTTCGACCTCACCCCTTGGCGGATTGAAGATGGAGTCTCCTTAAAGATACCAAAAGGATGCTGTATCGGTGTTACTGAGGACACATACTCCGCCTTCGCAAATACATCGTGTACCGACACTGCAACTAGCGGCACCTATCACTCTGATGTAAGTGTAATTGCTGTTTGTTGAGTTGTATAGCCTTTTGTTTTGAACATTTGATAACTTTTTTATAAATAAATATGAATGTCAAGTCGCAGTTTCACTATATGTAAGTCAAGCTGTACTTAAAAGACGAAAGAAGAAGAAGAAGAAGACAAAACAAAATTAAAAACATAGTAAGACAACATCTCATACGAAATAAATGCATCCTATCTTACTGTTTTTCTGGCTACTTCACGTCATCCGCCCAAATTTGATCTCGAGAAGTTAACCAATTGGAATATCAGCGAAAATTAGGAACGGCGAATTACAATCTTTTGCGAGCATACTATGTTTAAACGAAAAAAATATCAAGTACAGTTATTCGTTGCTAGTAAACTCAGGTTGATAAAATACAAATGAAAAATATAAAGTCAATATTTATTATCGCTATACAAACGGTTTTGCTTTGAATATTTCATTCTTAAGTGGAAAATTGAAGTTATTGAATTAAGTATTAGGTTCGAGTTAGGTTCGAGTTTGTTCGAGTTTGTTCTACATGTCCAATTTGAGAGAGAGAGAGAGAGAGAGAGAGAGAGAGAGAGAGAGAGAGAGGAGGAAGATTTTAAAATCGTAACTAAGTGAAAATACACTGTAGTTACTACACACAATAGCAAAATCTAAGATGAGTTTAACCCAATAAAGGTGAAATAAGTGATAAATCATGTCAAATATGGTGTGTAACTTACTGGGACTTTTGTTTTCATTCTAGGGCTGTTACGACACGATCTTGTCAAAGTTTGGAGAAATTGCTGGATACATCTGCCTCACTTTCTTTTCTTTATGTTCACAAGTGTTATCGAGTATGATATGGAATAAAAAAGGTAAGCCTTTCAAAATCCTTTCCATGAGTGGCTCAAAATTTGATCGAATATATATACAATGATGATTAATTAATTTAATGATACTTTAAAATGAAAAATTATATATATATAGATAAATGTATAAAGAGTAATACTAGTTAATGGATCAGGGGAGATAACTCAGACATGATAAACACAAAGGGGATTAACTCACAATAACAATACACAAACAACTCACAATCATACATCCAACACACATACACTATTTTCTTACTAAATAATGCATAGTCACAGTCAGTATAGATGTACAGTAAGAGTAGACTTTGACCTAAAGTCCATGTGCATTTATGTGCACAGGTCATTGCTACTTATACTGTTTATGAGTAAATAAGTACACATTTAAATAATGTGACAGAAAGGCAATTTGTCATTATGTTTACTATATTGAACAGAAAATAAACAAGATATAACAAACATACTCAACTGTAATCTCATTTATCATTATGCATCAAAACAGTTTATACTTTGTTATTCGATTAACAATTCAGATTAAAATAAGACATATATATTTGATATACTATATCTCAATATAATGCCTCATGACTTTCTACGTCATATACAAATTAAAACGCCTAGTATTTCCAATAAAAATCTTAATGTGACTTTGCATCTGTCTGTTTATATTCAGATCACATGCAGGAAAACATTGAAAAAATATATTTAAATCCATATGGTTATGATTACTAGTATTATTCAAAGAAGTAAACAAAGTATTTCGTTGTTCGATATACAGTGGACAATTGAAGAAATAATAAGAGGCTGGTTCGTATTCAAAAGAACAAGCACAAGTTGGACTATCTTTTAAATGGTCATGATATAAATAAGAATTTACAATAAAACAGGCATTTCTTAATTGGCAAATAATAATATTTACCCTTCTTTCACCGTCGTTTTTAAAAATTGTAACTACTTCTTTGTCATTAACCTTGTCTTTTTTGTAAATTTTTAAACAGAGCAAGATATGGATAGTTCAACATATCAGTATCCATTGTGTCAGGTGAGGATGTGGAGATATTAATGAAGTGATTATTGAGGACCTCAGCTGTATCACCAGGATGGTGAACAGCTTGGTTATTAATTACAATAGGATTTTTAATCGGAGAAGATTTATTGGTGAAGTTAGAGATAGATTTAGCAATTTTCCACCATTTATCTGGGGGAATCTTATTATCATTAAAATAATTTTCTAGGGTTTTGATAAATGTTGACTTACTTCACGGATCAGGTCAATGGCTTCATTCCTGAGAATCCGACATATGTTCCAAAAGTGATGACTATTTGTTAATTTGGCCTTTCTGTGAATTCTATTGCCTTGTCTCATCTTTAATCTTATGTTGTTGTTCATCCATGGTTTATCATAAGGACGTAATGTTATAACTTTGACAGAAATGAAGTCATTTACCTGATCCATGATTAAATCAGTAATTGTACTGTAAACAAATATTTTTCGTAAAATTTGCTTGTTTGAATACACTATATACAATTGATGCATACACACAGGATTGATCACTACAGAAGGATGGTGATGTATAAGTATTTCTAATTATGAATCGATTGTTTGTAAAGATAACATCGATGGAAGTGGCACTCTCCTGAGTAGGTTCATTAATAAGGCTAGATAAATTATGCTAAGTAAAGAGTCTTGAAAGGTGATGATTAGGTAGAAGGGTTAACATATCAATATTAATGTCACCGGTGAGTACCACATCTATTGAAGTATCAGTAGCTCTGGTCAAAGTCTCATCCAGTTTGTTCCAGTAATCAACATTACTATCAGGTCTGTATATCCATCCTAGTAAAAGTTTGTGATTATCAATTTTTACTTCTAACCAGATCAATTCAATAACATCCCTTTCCAATTCAATTCGTATATTAATCATGATATTATTTTTATAATAAACAATAATCCCACCTCCTGGACCTGTAGTTCTATCTTTTCTCTGAGTAGAGGAAGTAAAAGAGTGCATGTGAATGTCAGTGTTAGATATTAAAGGATTTAGATGGGATTCTGTTATACAAACACTATCAGAATTTTCTATCTCTGCTTCAATAAGGGGTATTTTGTTTCTAAGAGACCTCACATTTAAATGAACTAGAGTTATGCTTTGTAGTGGACCAGGATTTATTTCTATGTCACAACACCGTATCATAATTATAAGATGCGATATCAGAATAAAAGATAATTTATCGAATAGAGAAACCGTAATAAAGTAATACAAATAAATATGACGATAGCCATGATAGATATCGAGATAAGGTTTGATTGAATATAATAAATATAGCCGGAGACCAAGCTTTTCAAAGATAAGAATTCCAAATTAACCATTGCCGATGTGGAAAGTATTGACAGGAACGGATCGGTCAGTCATTCGGCTACAAAGTTAATCCTTAATGGGTAACTGTGCGACTTTTTGAAGGGGGATAGGAGAGAAATATTGGCATGGTAAAAGTCAATACATGTATTAAATATCCGAGTCTCTGTGCTTAATAAGAGATAGGTTCGCCTACATTTAATCGGACAAGTCGGGTTGACTAATAAAACAAATTGCTCGCCTCTAACTATAAATATTAGTTGGTAACATCAAAGGATCCACCCATCATTATTGTCATCATTATAGTCTGTTCCTCTACGCATCGATATTCAAAGATAAAAAAGGAAAAGATAGGACCTCCGAACCACGGCTCCAACAGCCATATAAGTATGAGTGGGTTGAGTAAGCTAGTTTTCATAAATAAGGTCAAGTATAGCGATGATATATAAAGCACGTGGAAAGCAACCATCTGCGTCGGTGCATTTTTGCTGCAGTTTGGTTGTACAATAAATAATGTGTCAGACACCTGTTAAAAAATATTCTAACAGCACAAACAACACAAACATAACCGGAATGTAAAGCGAGAACCGGGGTATTGACACATGGACAACTAGTGACTTTGATATACAACAATCCCCCACGAGAATTTGGTAATGGCGTCAAAATAGGTCAAAACACAGCAAGGTGCCTAACGGTCCTGTACTATTAATTGGTTATTTATCTTATATCCCTGACTTTCAAACTGGTTTAACTACATTTTCAAAGGCGATCCTCCAATGTACAGGGTTAATGCTTACTTACGTTCTCTTCACCCCTCAAAAGCTCTGTGTTCGCCACAATGTGGATGACACAAGTAGATTAATTTGATCGTTCGATGTAAATCAAAAGAATCACGCAAAAGCATAGCGGTAAAATTGACCAGCTTTGAAATCGGATGGGTTTCGTCTGTAATCCTCCAATGTCAGATATCAGCCTTTCTTTTGGTGAATTTGTTTTACCTGAAATCAATCAATTTCTAATATCTTGCCTTCGATTTTGCAATGACACATTCCTGGGGTGCAGGACAAGAAAGTGTGTGTTATCCCTTTCAATTTTAGAACTTAAGGTTAAAGGCTAAATAACACTACTCTACAAATAATAATCGTGGTATTGTTTGCATATTTTAACATAATATATTCATTTTAATTTGAAAGAGGGCATACGTTATCGATTTTAACAAACATGATAGTATTTCCTCCATGCTTTATCTAGCCTAATACAAGGATCCTTAACCGCTTGGCCTTTCAAAATCAGTGAAACTTTAATGGTCTAATGTTCAAATTCCATAGATTATTTTGATATTAATCTTTGTGATGTATATTTCTTTTTTGGTTAATTTAACGTGTAAGGCCTGATTCGTTACACACACAAGTTCATGTGTAATGTAATTAAATATCTTTCAAATGCCATAAAAAGAATGTTCTCTGATAGAGAGAAGGATTGCGTATCACTTAAATCATCATTAAAGGCTTACCTGTCTTTTTTGTTAACAGATTTTGATGGTAATATTCGCTTTCTGTCTTTGCTGCACCTATATGAATAGTGGGACATTCGGAGTGAGAGTGTGACCCCTTGATGGACAACCGATATCACATGACTTAACGGAAGTAGTAAGCTGGCGCACGTGTCGTAATTTCAAACGAATTATCGAGTTACTTAGATGTAACTCGCACTTTTCGATTGAAGAAAAACTTTTACTTGGTAGTTGTAGCAGATGTTCCAAACGCCTACGCATGGACGCGGTGTTTATTGTGTGTGGACACAATTTATCTATTTGACCTTGTTTTGCAAACGGCTTATTTGTCTTCAAGATTCTACTCAATACACATTTCTTTTCTATGCCATCGAAATACATTGTATGTCTTGACAAAATCAAAGGCTCTTTACACGCAACCTGGATTCGAAATATGGACATCCAATCACAATACAATCGCACAAAGCGACTGAACAGCACGATCAGTGGCAATTGCCAAGCTAAATCCTACTCAACATTTATAAAATTAACAAAATCTTACATTGATAATATTTTGGGGAGAAATACAGTGCAATTAAAAAAATAATGATGAAAATAAACCAACAAAAAGTGAAAAAGGTTTTGCACGTATTCCAATGTGATGTTGTCGAAACCTAAGGAACTTTTGATTTCAGATATATTATTGCTATGTTTAATAAAATTGTTGTCACTGGTTGACATTGTTTGTCGTGTTGTGTCATTACTTTTAGCCTAAACTGTACTTAAAATTTGGCAAGCGGCACCTGTAAATGTCATACTATTCCTATTTCTGACAAACATAGCCCCAGGCGGGACAACGTGCACGGATGCCCACTGCGGCTTCCACTCATTGACTATATCATAAAAGATGAAGTCAAGGGATTGGTTTTACCTTTCCTTGTCTATGAAATCGAAGCGTCCGCTCTCTTACGGTCGAATCTCAGGTCCTTTATTTACGCCGTGCGATTAGTCGGTTTTTGATATGTTGATCTAACCAAATACCTAACCGTGACTAGTTCGTGACAAATTCCAGGACGACATAGAAATTGACCATTATATCGAAAGCGAAATGTGTTGATTTTTGAGATGATTTGTCATTTTCTGTAAAAAAAAAAAGTCAACAATTACAAGAAAAAATAACCCAACAGAACATCAATTGGTGTATCAGTCTCCAAGGTTGAATATAGACTTGAAGCTGTGTTATGGTACCGTTTACAGGTATGGTAGTTAAAGTATTAATCATATAAAAGGGCGGATTGGTCGAGTGGTTAACACCCCGGCCTTACGCGCAGGCGGCCGGGGTTCAATCCACGCAGTCGTCGTACGCATGGATATTCAGAGAAATTGTTTTTCTCCTGCCCACACAGCTCCAACAACTCGGTAGGGGTATAAATTGGTCTGGGGTGGATGTAGTCCGAATTATTCTGACGTTTTTTTTTTTATATCGGTCTGGCGTCGATTAACATAATCGTCATTTAACCTTGAGTTTTCGATCCATGTACGACATGTGTGTGAAAGTGACGATTTGTTTCTAAAATAACAGTTTGAAGAGCGACCCTGGCGCGGGTCGCCTATTTCCCGCATGTTATAGAGGGCTGGAGTTGTGACGTTAATCGAAGCCAGACCGATATTAAATAATTCGGACTGGGGTTGATGTTGCGGTATTTGTGTTGTAGAGTTCTAGTGATGTGGCACTATAAATGATGCCGTCGGAAGCACGGTCCCAATACAAATATCACACATTACATCTCCAGCACAGACGCAGGCATACACACATATGGAGATATAAGCAAGGTGGCATAGGGCTAGTAGTTAGCGCCTGATAAGGCAGCTCCTGCGAATTCCTCAAGGTTGAATTGATTAATGTATATGCTAATTGTATTAATTGTATATATATATATACTGTAAAGCGCTTTAGAGTTCCTTATGTTAGCTAGATAGGGCGCTATATCAAATGTTGTATATTATAATTATGATTGAAAGCCAAAATTTAAAATTTCAAACCTTTTATAGAGTTCCATTTGCACTTTCTTCTATTCGCCGTAATTTGCATACAGGAAGAAACACGTAAGGCCTGGATTTATTCATTAATTTGACCTTTATTATCATATTTAACTAGCCTCAAATGCACGAAGCGGGTTTATGTAGAAAAATGTTATTTCGTCATGCTTTCTGCATATACAAGGAAGATTATTAGATACGTGATACCATTCTTCCTATTTACATTTTGTGCAGAAAATGCTAAACAGTACAGTAAAACGAGCCATAAAAGACCGGCAGCAAATAAGGCTGATAGGTTGCTACAAAGAAAAGCACATTTAACAATGGTCATAATAAAAAAGCAAACCGCAAGTCATATAATTATGTCAAATGATTTTTGCTTTGCTAAACGAAGAAATACTACTTACAAAGACTGCATATAACTTACATTGCAGAACCAATATCATCGTTTGATAGAAATTAACGTTGACATTTTGTTCATTATTTGCCTTTTATTTTTCCACGTTCAAAGGTCATTCACTTTTAATATATTTCATATCTTTCCAATCCTGTCATTAATTTAAGGAGGTAACTCTTCCGAAATACACTCATATTATTTAAACAAATTATAACTGTATTTCAAATCGTTGAAATGATGGCGATTACTTAAGAAATGTACTCTTACGAAAAGCCTTCTCCCGAAACAAGTAACTATTTATAACTGTATTTAATATATTTGAAATTTTGCCAATTACCCAAGAAAGTTACTTTTTCGAAATTCACTTTCATAAAAACCACAATAGCATAATGAGTATATTTTCTATAAAATGTTTATATGAAAATCACACTCCGGTTTGAGCATTTCATTCACGAACAGCACTTCGAACTTTGGGAATAATTGTTGATTGAACCGAAAACGGAATGACGTAAACAGAGATACGTTTGTTCTGTTTAATTACGAACATTTTTCTTGGTAGTCAAGTGTTGTAACTTTAAGAAGAAACACGAATACCGTTGATTAGTAGAATTATAGCGTTATATTTATATCAACACAAACATTGTGTATCCATGAATTGATAACATATTTTGTGAGCTTTCTTTTGTGACGTGAAGAGTGTAAATGACCGGTGTCGCGAATCTTAACCCTTTAAGACAACTCACTAGGCCACAGAATCGGTAAAGTCAGCTGTCAGAAATCATAGAGGCATTTTGCCCAATTGCTCTCTAATACTGCAGGTAAACATGTTACCCGCCCCCCTGACTGCCTGCCGTATTAGAGTGCAATTCGACAAAATGTCTAAGGTTTTTGGCAGCCTTTTTTAAAATATCAATATAGACAACATTTATTTAATAATAGTGATACAAAATCGTCAAGCACAGCACTAAGACACTACACTACAAGTGGTCAATGGCCACCTACATATAGCTGGTGGGCAAATTTTCTTAGTATCCCGACAACAACTGTTAATACTCATCAGATCTAAAGATTGATAAACAGAGCAAATTTGTCAGAAACACTGACAGTGTTAATACATTTTGACCAAGGAAAGATGCAGGAGGTTTTAGTAGAGCTGTATATATAAGGAAAAATTTCAAATTAATTAATTAAAAATCAACAGTTTATCACTCATCCCTTAAAAATCAATATGGTTCCTTTACGCCCTTCAGTTTAAATCAAACAATAAACTACTGAATGCCAATTCTGCATATGACTACATATAAACGACATTTAATCGTTTATATTAATATATAATAACTTTCTTTACCGTCCTTTACTGCAAGAAGTAATCATAAACATTTCATAACATATTCGATATTTTTCAAGTTATTACTATCATTAACGAAAATCGCTCTTTCGTAAATAACTTTCCAGATATCACAAATAAGTCGATTATATATATATTATTATTTTAAAAGATGCGTTTTGTTTGAATATTTCATTGCTCAACTTCACTTCGAATTTCAAAAAAGATCATTTATTGAACCGGAAGTGGAATGTTGCAAAAAGAGATATGCTTATATCATGTAATCATGAACATATGTCCTGTTAGGCAGTAGTGACGTGCTATTGTAAGAAGCAAAAAAGATCACTAATGATTGGTATATAAAATGCTTTATTTGTGTCGACAAATACACGATTCTGACATGTAATAAACATTAGAAGCAAATGAAAAACACAGAATAGTTATATAGAATAGTTATATAGAATAGTTATTGACAAATCAAACCAAGTATCATTTAAAAGGATAATATATAGAGCATGACATTATAAACAACGACATTTTCAAAACTATCAATTATGTTCTCAATAAAGATCAATGTTTATATTAAGATGCTGTTGTCTTGTCGTAAATATAACTTGTATCAACAAACATCATGTTGAAATGAAGCTGACAAAACTTTAATCTTACTTGATATAATGTGTCTGTGCGGAGGGCTGACAGACAATGCTCTACTATCTCGGTATCTATTGGCCTGGATAGAGCAAGCACTGTCAGCTTGGTGGCACAGATTTATTATTTTTCGTGACGATTATTTAACACACAGACTACAAGATTGACATTCACAAGGTACTGTGAAATTGTGATTTTTCATGTCTTAAGCTGACATATCAGTTACAACTTGTGTATTGAACATTTCATCAACGGTTATGTTTCCTTTATAACACATTGCGTTGAATCAATTTCTCTTCGCTCCTTTTTGGGTGTTACTTCGTTATTTTTAATTTCCGATTTTCTTAATATTTGAAATAAAAAAAGGTTTATATTCAAAATCGATCCTAATGTGTCAATAAGCGGTTGGTAATCTGCTAGTTCCATTGTTATACGACTACCGTGTCAGATAGTGTTACGGGTAGTGCCTATTGTACAAACGACCGATCATGCTCGATTAGTTTAAACCTAACTTGGGCAAAGTCACATAATATTTGCGTATCATAAAAAGACTATACAGCGGAGGAAACACACGTTAAAAGCCTTTTGGGATTTAAAAACTAAGACAGTCCAGGTAGGTCTAGCTGGTAAAGCAACACTGATAAAATAATTAGCAGTTTACATATTTCAATTATTAGCCGTTGTTTTACTCCAAACACCACTGAAAAAGCATAAAATTAAATCGGATATGGACAAATAGTGCCACAGAAAATAATAATGGAGGTATTTGTTTACAACACAAAATGAACGCTAAAGGGATGGGTTATCACAATTTCAGATTGTTTTCTAGTACTGCTGATAACTAATATTACATTTGTATATATAATATATATCACATAATATTAATTTATTTATAAACTAAAAAAATATAATCAGTAGTTATTCATAAAACATTTATCCGATCTACTTTTAATCAAAAAGTGATAAGCATACTCTTCTACACGCTTAATTAGCGATATCTCAATATATAATAAATCTGTGCAGCTGCTTTCGATTAGTAAGGGGCCGCAGTGGCCAAGTGTTTAAGTCGTTTGACAGTCTGCTTCCACTAGCCCCCACTGGGTGGCTGGTTCAAGGCTTACGTGGGGCAGTCGCCAGGTACTCTCTGCAGGTCGGTTGGATTTCTCCGGGTACTCCCGCTTTCCTCCTCCACCAAAAACCTAGTACGTCCTTAAATGATCATAGCTGTCAATAGGACGTGAAACACAAACAAACAGCGACAAATGTTCTTTTCATAATGTCCCGTAATTAATTCTTGACTCATTATAAAATACGGCAATTTTGATATTTGTATACTTTGAAATATTTGAAGCAGTTTAACTTCCGCCTTTTATCGTATTTCGTAAAGAGGGCTGGTTTACAAATGTATCATACTGTTCTTATTTTAAGTCCTGATTCATCAGAGATTAGGGTATTTCTCTTGTAAACACCTTTTCCCGGGAATATTTTTGATACAGGGTAACGTTCGCCTTTTTTGCCAATCGAATGAGAGTGAATTAACCATTACAGCTAATTCTAATCATCAACATCATATACAAAGGAAGCAAATGTGAAAGACGAAGTTAAAGATGTGGGCTTTAAAGGCGAACTACAAACGTTGGTCTAGGCGACTGTTTCTCGCCATAGCTTTTATAAAGGAATCGATAAACGTGAATATTTGGTAGAATAACAACATGGTGATGCTATTTGTCCTAGAAAAAAAAGGAATGAAATAAGATCGCCGACTCAAACCATGCAACGGAACATGGTAGGCACAATGCATTAGTCGCGTAACGGAGTTGTAATACTGATTCGCTTTGATGTAATCGGTACAAAACAAAGGAACATTATATTTACACAGTAATTACAACACTGAACGTAATGGAATAATATAACTGATTTGATTGGACAATACTTATTTTAATAAAAACATCCTCTACGAAGCAGAAATGGATATGTGGTGATGGTCTTCGGGAAGCTACGGTACATCGATCTTCTAAATACTTTTCATGACTATCATTTTATGTGTAATCCATGACTATCACATCTCCGCAGGTCGGGTAGAGAAAAAAGAATACCTCAGCTGTTACTCACTTCATGGTCGTAGCAGGCGATTAACTTGGGAACCCATGCAGAATGGGGAATCGGTTTTTGTACCATCTACTTGGGGACATAAAGGCGACTAAAATAAATATAATGCACCCATTGCAATATTTGCAAGTATCTTTGCATTTCTTTTTACTTTTAACGACATTCTGTTTCCAACCGCTTTCCTTGACAAACCTTCAGTTTTGGAATTAATATTGAAGATTGCCCATTCAAGATAACATACCATACTTACAGATCCAGTATAGCTCATGAAGATGGCCAGGAGGCCGAAATGTTTAAATCATAAAACGGAGCTGAACATATCTTAATATAACAAATTGTATATAGCTGAGCTTAATATTGTATCTTTTATAGCCAACTACAGCTCCACCATGGTTTGCTGCAAAGAGGGAATCTCGAAGTACATAATTATAGGATTGAACATTATATTTATGGTAAGTTGTATTAAAGAGCTGTGTTCAAAAGTGAAAGTGAATGGAACTTCTTGTCAAATGTGAATGTCACGATAAGTGTTCTTAAGTGCACTTGGCATGTAATATAGTGCACTTGGCATGTCATATAGACAGGATTGCACATTTACTCAACCGATTCCCCTGTATAAATGATTTGTGTTCACTTAAGGAACTCGGTCAATTTACACGTATTTATAATTCAAGTAAACGTATGAAGCTCACTCTAATTTCATAGCTACTTGCATATATTAATGATTAGAGAACATTTACATGTACGAAGTTCAATCTAGAGATTCGAGTACACTTACGAAGCCCAATCAAGTTAACAGGTATAATGTGAGGAGTACACTTACGAAACGTAGCTCACTTACATGTATTAATGACTGAGTACACTTGTGAAATCCAATCTACATACTTGTATTAATGTTTGGTCAAGAAACTCAATTAAGTTACTGTTCTTACGGCTTCGAGTACATTTATGAAGCTCATTCTCGTTAATGGTCATAATTATTAATAAACTCAACCCACTTACAGGTATAAGTGACCGAGTGCACTAGGAAAACCAGATCTCCATCCTTGTATTAATGTTTCAAGTACTGTTAAGAAACTCAATCTACTCAGTTGTATTGATAATTCGGGTACACTTAATAAACTCAATCAAGTTACCAGTGCTAATATTTCAAGTAAATTTATCAAGATAAACCTACTAACAAGTATTGATCTTTCGAGTCCAATCAGGAAACATAATTAATTTTCTTTTATCAGTAATTCGTTATGAGTATCATTATCAAATTGAATAGTATCTGACCTAACAAAATTTCTAACATTTCTGTTTCATCTAGCTGGGTCATGTTAGAAATGTTGACCTAATTATATGGTGCGTCATATCTTTTTTCCTCATCTGTTTCATACCTGGCTGTAGGTGCTTGGTCTAGCCGTCATGGTCCCAGGAATAGTTATGCTGACAAATATTGACTTCCTGAGTGGCAACATTGAACCCTTGCTGGACAAGATATCCTTCAATGGCATCAATCTGTCAAACATCGCTAACAACCTCCCAATCATCTTTATCATCGTTGGCGCGTCGATACTCTTCATAGCTACACTCGGACTGGTTGGAGCCTGCTGTAAAATCAAAACCTTGCTTGTTTTGGTAAGTAGCGCCACTGTACCCAAAACGGTACACTTTGTTTTAGATAAATATCAATGTTCTGTATACCATACAATCAATTAACAAAAAATCATTTAAGCAATGAATGTATTAGCAATTTTGTTATGGTCGTATAACACACATTGCTATTGATGACAAACATAATAATGGGGGCCGTGGTGGCCAAGTGTAAATAACTCTGACCGTAGGTCGGTGGTTGTTCTCAGGGAACTTCGGTTTCCCTCCACCACCAAAATATGGCACGTCCTTAAATTACCATAGCTGTTAAATGGACACAAAACACAAACAAACCAAAAACCAAACTTAATAACGCACCGTAGGGCTTTATGTAAGTTTGTCAGCAATACCGATGAGTGTTATAGGACCATAACGACATATAATAAAATATTCATTATTAATTTGATATTTATGTTTTGATAGAGTTGTTATACTTTATTTATTCATTTCGAACAGCAAATTAAGTCTTGACAACAATGAAATTACAGCCGTCACAATAGAGAGTGACGACGTTACAATAGAAGATGTTTTGGTAGTCAACATTTGCCTTCTCAATGCATTGCAATGAAAGGATGCAGAGCAAATGTAGATATATTTAGATACTATCCACTTTTCACTAACATGTGTTTGTTGTTTGATAAACATCTGCTGTATGGTGATTCAATACATTTCACACCATTTACTGTATACCGAGAAACTTTCGACCAGTCAAATAGTCGCCCCTTGCCGATACAATCCCTTAACATGTAATTAACATGTTACTAATATTCGCTGTCATGATAAATTCGCCTTCACTTGTCAAAACAGGCGAAAGTTATACTGCGTGGAAATCTTCATCAGTTTACAATATGGCTTTTAAAAGCTATAATGCAGGTTGGGAGTGATAACAAAATGATTATAATTTCTCGATATGAAGGTTGGCAATCAACTAGGATTTTTTGACTGCGATTGTCACGTTAGTTAATAATCGAGAGCTATTACTTTTGATATCGGCAATACCGAATTATTCAGCACTTCATGGAACTCCCCCTGAACTTGGCAATTGTGCAAACACGATATACTATATAGGCTTTGTGGGGTATCGGTTTATTATATATAGGACATTATGCAATGTCAATTAATTAGTCAGCCAAATTTTACAAAAAGGTTCAGGTATTGTTACCAATATGTTATACAACTAGATTTGCATGCTATTGTTGTGTTTCAGTACGCCCTCATTGTTATAGTACTGGCCTTGGTGCAAGTCATCATACTAGCGTTCTTCTTCCTTCTGAGGACCCAGGTAGGTGCAATCAGTTCAGTAATGATAAATAAGAACTCCCATAGTATTTTTTAACAAATACATTACTATGCCAATTCATGATGGAAAGCTGTTCCAAAATATCCACACAAGGTGACGTTATTACAACATTATTGTATCATTGATTAGATCATTGTCACTTGAAAATACGTGATTTTGGATTTTGACTCTATCTTTTTACAAATTTTAAAATACAGCACGCCAATATGTTCTTATGAAGTTACTTCAACTATAACGACACAATTATATTAATAGTTCTCACATTCAGTTCGATATTCTTAGAATGAACGCCTTTATTAGTTTTCAGGAATATAAATTATAGCATTGTTTCGATATCTACCAGAAAATGCTAAGATTAGAGAAATACATTTTATTTCTTGTTCTAGTTGGATGATACTATAAAGGATGAGTTCCTGAGCCAACTACAGTCAAGCTACACAAAAGATGACCTGGACAAGAGTGACGAAGTGTCTTCAGCGTTCAACTATATGTTTATGCAGGTAAAGTCACGTTATGTTATACAATCTGTCAAGTAGAGCTTTATAACGATGCACGTTTTTGAAGACAATGGGAAATCGACATGATCTTAAAGGGAAATATGCAAATTCTTTGTGTGATATGGATATCGATTATTTTTAATATGATCATTAATGTAACCGTATCTTGCTGTTTGTTTGTCACCATTCTAGCTTTGAGGTCGTGGCATTAAATGGATTTGACCTTTGCATGAGGGTTGTCATCAATACAGCAAAAGACATTCACCCTTCCGGAACATTTGGACTTATTCTCGTTGTTCTTGTTGAAAGATCTCCACGTCCCTCTTGTTTTTGTTAACCCATTTCACCCCGATATAACTTTAGTAGACTCTACCATGCATTGATATGGAAGGGTCCATTATGGTCTACAGTGGTGAAAGGATTAAAGTTTTGCCCTAGTTTTATCGATGAAGGTTTCAAAATAAGGTGTTTGTTGACATTTCGGTATTCCCTGTTTTTTACCCATATGTAGATTTTTTTCAACTATTGAACCTTGTGTGCTGGTGTTATGAGTAATAACGTTGGCTTGTATGGGTTTGATATCTTCGGAACAGTTAAGGTCATACACGTATGAAGACGGGTGTCCAGCGAGATATTCGCCGAAAAGTAAGAGTGAAATAATGAGAGAGAAAAGAAAATATTTCAATGTGGGCAGCAGATCAAATAATTAGCTTTCCACTAAGCAGAAAACATAGACGGAATCCCCGATTCCGCAAGAGGTTCCATATATACCGCCTCTTCGACAGGCATTGTGATACAGCAGGCTTATACCTCCGAATCTGAAGGGGATAAAGTAAGAGAAAAAAAGTATTAATATATATATATATGATTTAATATCATTCAAACATAGAAACGACCGAGATGTAGTGAAAAGTCAGTGTAGAAAAGGTTGACCGATGCAGAAAAGCCGCGTCAATATAGACTCTAGTATTGAAAAACAGGCTACCGATGCAAGGAGATGCAAGTACTCTATAATTCATTACTTTGTTCGATAGATGGAGTGCTGTGGTGTGAATCCGGTAACCGCGACAACAAACGACTTCGACCTCACCCCCTGGCGGAGTGGAGATGGAGTCTCCTTAAAGATACCAAAAGGATGCTGTATCGGTGTAACCGAGGACACATACTCCGCCTTCGTCAATACAGCGTGTACCGACACTGCAACTAGCGGCACATATCACTCTGATGTAAGTGTAATTGCTGTTCGTTGAGTTATAGCCTTTTGTTTTGAACAATGAATGTCAGGTTGAATTTTACTATATGTAAGTCAAGCAGTACTTTAAAGAAGAAAGAGGAAGAAGAAACACAAAACAAAATTAATAACATAGTAAGTGCGTACGATTTTTAGGAAGTGTCTTCTGTTGTTTTTTTGTTGTTGCAAAAAACAACACCTGCGGAGTTCATACGAATTCATGCATCCTATCATATTTTTCTCTACTATGGTTACTTCGCGTCATCCAACCAAATTTGATCTCGCGAAGTTGACCAATTAGGAACGGCGAATTACAAGCTTTTGCGAGCATACTATGTTTAAACTGAACAAATCTAAATACAGTTATTCGTTGCTAGTAAACTCAGTGTGATAAAATACAAATGAAAAATATTATATTCAATATCTATTATTACTATTCAAACGGTTTTGCTTTGACTATTTCCTTCTTAAGTGGAAATTAGTTTTGGAAGTTATTAAATAAAGTATAAGGTTCGAGTTTGTTCTACTTGTCAATCCTGAGAATGTGTGTGAGAGAGAGAGGGTGAAACAGAGGAGAAAGATTCTTAAATCGTAACTAAGTGAAACTACACTGTAGTTACTACATACAGTAGCAAAATCTAAGATAAGTTTAACCCAATGAAGGTCAAATAAGTGTGATAAATCATGCCAAATATGGCGTGTGACTCACTGGGACTTGTGTGACAGCACTGTTTTGTTTTCATTCTAGGGCTGTTACGACGCGATCATGTCAAGTTTTGGATCTACTCTAAATATGATGGGATATATCTGCTTCGGTGCACTACTGCTGCAGGTATGTTGTACAATCATTAATGTGTCAGCCACCTGTTAAATCAATAAATTAACAAACAAACAACACAGACAAGAAAGAATAACAAAGTATCAACAAAATTGGAATTTAAAGCGAGAACCGGGGCAATGACACATGCAAAACCAGTCACTATGATGTACAACATAGAACTTCTGATAGCACGAAACTACATGTTTCTCCACGAGAACTTGTTGATGACATCAAATTAGGTAAAAACACAGTAAGTTGCCTGTCGGTCCTTTAATATTAATTGGCTATATATATCACATACCTGACCTTTAAACTGGTTGAAGTTAATTTTCAAAGGTCATCCTCCAAGGTCAAAGGATGTTCTCATCACCTCAAATGCTCTGTTTTCGCCACATTGTGGATGAAACAAGTAGATTAATGTGATCTTTTGATGTTAATATAGAAAATCACACAAAAGCATAACGGTTAAATTGATCAGCTTTGGATTGTTTCCCTCTGTAATCTTCCAAGGACAGGTATCAGCCTTGCTTTCGGTGGGGTTTAACTTACCTGAAATCAATCAGTATATAATACCATGCCTCCGATTTGACAATGACATAGTCCAGGAGTGCATGGAACGTAAGTTCGTGTAAACCCTGTTATTTGGAAAACTTAATCATGTTAAATGGCAGCAATCTACGCATTATGGATCTTGCTATGGAGTAATATTACATTACTCCTTATAATGTTTGCTGTCATATTTAAACATAGTCTGTTCATGTCACTTTGATAGAGGGTAAATTTCATTGATTGAAACAAACGTGATTTCATTCCTCAACACATATATCAAACCAAATATCATGATCCTAACCCGTTTTGACAAACAAAAACTTTTGTGATATATTCCTTCTTGGTTAATAACACGTGTGTAGCAAAATTCATTACCTCACTCGAGTTTATGTATATGTTTTTGAAATATCGTAAAAATGCCATAAAAATGTTCTCTGATGGAGAAAATAATTGTTTACTACTTCAAACTTAATTAATAGCTTACCTGTTTTTTTGTTTACAGATTTTGATAGTGATATTCACTTTCTGTCTTTGCTGCACCTATATGAAGAGCGGGACATTCAGACTGAGAGTGTGACCCTTGATGGACAACCGATATCACATGACTTGACGGAAGTAAAAAACTGGCGCACGTGTCCTAATTCAAAACGAATTATCGAGTTACTTAGATGTAACTCGCACTTTTTGATTGAAGAAAAAAACTTTCACTTGGTAGATGTAGCAGATGTTCCCAACGCATACGCATGGACGCGGTGTTTATTGTGTGTGGACACAATAATTGTTTACTACTTCAAACTTAATTAACAGCTTACCTGTTTTTTTGTTTACAGATTTTGATAGTGATATTCACTTTCTGTCTTTGCTGCACCTATATGAAGAGCGGGACATTCAGAGTGAGAGTGTGACCCTTGATGGACAACCGATATCACATGACTTGACGGAAGTAAAAAACTGGCGCACGTGTCCTAATTCAAAACGAATTATCGAGTTACTTAGATGTAACTCGCACTTTTNTAAATCGTAACTAAGTGAAACTACACTGTAGTTACTACACACAATAGCAAAATCTAAGATGAGTTTAACCCAATAAAGGTCAAATACGTGTGATAAATCATGCCAAATATGGCGTGTGACTTACTGGGACTTGTGTGACAGCATTGTTTTGTTTTCATTCTAGGGCTGTTACGACGCGATCATGTCAAGTTTTGGATCTACTCTAGATATGATGGGATACATCTGCCTCGGTGCACTACTGCTGCAGGTATGTTGTACAATCATTAATGTGTCAGCCACCTGTTAAATCAATAAATTAACAAACAAACAACACAGACAAGAAAGAATAACAAAGTATCAACAAAATTGGAATTTAAAGCAAGAACCGGGGCAATGACACATGCAAAACCAGTCACTATAATGTACAACGTAGAACTTCTTATAGCACGAAACTACACGTTTCTCCACGAGAACTTGTTAATGACATCAAATTAGGTAAAAACACAGTAAGTTGCCTGTCGGTCCTTTAATATTAATTGGCTATATATATCACATCCCTGACCTTTAAACTGGTTGAAGTTAATTTTCAAAGGTCATCCTCCAAGGTCAAAGGATGTTCTCCTCACCTCAAAGGCTCCGTTTTCGCCACATTGTGGATGACACAAGTAGATTAATGTGATCTTTTGATGTAAATATAAAGAATCACACAAACGCATAACGGTTAAATTGATCAGATTTGGATTGTTTCCCTCTGTAATCTTCCAAGGACAGGTATCAGCCTCGCTTTCGGTGGGGTTAAACCTACCTGAAATCAATCAGTATCTAATACCATGCCTCCGATTTGACAATGACATAGTCCAGGAGTGCATGGAACGTAATTTCGTGTAAACCCTGTTATTTGGAAAACTTCATCATGTTAAATGGCAGCAATCTACGCATTATGGATCTTGCTATGGAGTAATATTACATTACTCCTTTTAATGTTTGCTGTCATTTTTAAACATAGTTTATTCATGTCACTTTGATAGAGGGTTAATTTCATTGATTGAAACAAACGTGATTTCATTCCTCAACACATATATCAAACCAAATATCATGATCCTAACCCGTTTTGACAAACAAAAACTTTTGTGATATATTCCTTCTTTGTTAATAACACGTGTGTAGTACAATTCATTACCTCACTCGAGTTCATGTATATATTTTTGAAATATCGTAAAAATGCCATAAAAATGTAATGGAGAAAAGAATTGTTTACTACTTCAAACTTAATTAATAGCTTACCTGTTTTTTTTTGTTTACAGATTTTGATAGTGATATTCACTTTCTGTCTTTGCTGCACCTATATGAAGAGCGGGACAATCGGAGTAAGAGTGTGACCCCTTGATGGACAACCGATATCACATGACTTGACAGAAGTAAAAAAACTGGCGCACGTGTCCTAATTCAAAACGAATTCTCGATTTACTTAGATGTAACTCGCACTTTTCGATTGAAGAAAAAACTTTCACTTGGTAGATGTAACAGATGTTCCCAACGCATACGCATGGACCCGGTGTTTATTTTGTGTGGAAACAGTTTACCTATTTGAGCTTGTTTTGCAAACGGCTTATTGTCTTCAAGGTTCTACTCAATACACATTTCTTTTCTATGCCATCGAAATACATTGTATGTCTTGACAAAATCAAAGGCTCTTTACACGCAACCTGGATTCGAACATTGACATCCGATCACAATACAGTCGCACAAAGCGACTAAACTGTATGATCAGCGGCAATTGCCAAGCCAAGTCTTACTCAACATTTATAAAATTAACAAAATCTTACATTGATAATTTTGTGGGGAGAAATACAGTGCAATTAAAAAAATAATGATGAAAATAAACCAACAAAAAGTGAAAAAGGTTTTGTACGTATTCCAATGTGATGTTGTCGAAACTTAAGGAACTTTTGATTTCAGATATATTATTGCTATGTTTAATAAAATTGTTGTCACTGGTTGACATTGTTTGTTGTGTTGTGTCATTACTTTTAGCCTAAACTGTACTTAAAATTTGGCAAGCGTCACCAGTAAATGTCATACTATTCCTATTTCTGACAAACATAGCACCAGGCGGGACAACGAGCACGGATGCCCACTGCAGCTTCCAGTCATTGATTATAGTATAAAGATGAAGTCAAGGGATTGGTTTTACCTTTCCTTGTCTTCGAAATCGAAGCGTCCGCTCTTGAAATCACATATCTATTTCATTTTAGTGGATTTTCTTATGGTAGAATTTAAGGTCCCTTCTTTACGCCATGCGATTGGTCTGTTTTTGATATTTTGATCCAACCAAATAGGTTACCTTGATTATTTCATGAGAAGTTCCAGGACGACTTAAAAAACATGGACTAATAGGCGAAATGTGTTGATTTCTGAGATGATTTGTCATTGGTTTTAACATTTTCTGTAAAAATACCCACCATAAAGTCATCAATAACAAGAAATTATATAAATCAACAGATCATCAATTGCTGTTGAGATTTCAGTCTCCAAAGTTGAATATAGACTTGTAGCTGTGGTTTATTATGGTACCGTTTAAAGGAATTGTAGTTAAAATTTGATTCATATATAAGGGCGGATTGATCGAGTGGTGAACAGCCCGGCCTTCCACGCAGGCGGCCGGGGTTCGATGCTCGCAGTCGTCGTACACATGGATATTCAGAAAAAGTGATTTTCTCTTGCCCACGAAACTCCAACAACCTGGGTGGAGTATACATTGGTCTGGGGTGGATGTTGTGGTATTTGTGTTGTAGCGTCCAAGTGAGGTGCACTATAAATGATGCCGTCGGAAGCACGGTCCCACTACAAATAGAACACATTACATCTCCAGCACAGACGCAGACATACACACATAAATATATATTAGCAAGGTGGCATAGGGCTAGTAGTTAGCACCTGATAAGGCAGCTCCTGCGAATTCCTCAAAATTGAATTGATTAATGTATATGTTAATTGTATCAATTGTATATATATGTACTATAAAGCGCTTTAGAGTGACATGTTAGCTAGACAGGGCGCTATATCAAATGGTGTATATAATAATTATTATAAAAAGCAACAATTTGAAATTTAAAACCTTATATAGAGTTTCATTGGCACTTTCTTCTATTCGCCGTAAATTGCATACGGACAGAAACACGTAAGGCGTGGATTTATTCATTAATTTGAACTTTAGTATGATATTGACTAGTCTCAATTGCACGAACCGGCTTTATGTAGAAAATGAAAATTTTGTCATGCTTTCTGCATATCCAAGGAAGGTTATTAATTAGGTGATACCTTTCTTCCTATTTCCATTTTGTGCAGAAAATGCTGAACGGAACAGTAAAACGAGCCATAAAAGACCGGAGCAAATTAGGCTGATAGGTTGCTACAAAAAAAGCACATTTAACAATGGTCATAATAAAAAAAAGCAAAGGGCAAGTCATATAGTTATGTCAAATGATTTTTATTTTGCTAAACGATGAAATACTACATACAAAGACTACATATAACTAACATTGCAGAAACAATATCATCGTTGGAAAGCATCGACGTTTTCATTTTGTTCTTTGTTAAGCGTCTAATAGCTTATTGTCTTTTGTTTCTCCACGTTCAAAGGTCATTCACTTTTAATTTATTTCATATCTTTCAACTCCTGGCATCATTCAAGGAGGTTATTCTCCCGAAAAACACCCAAGAATATTTAGACAAATTACACTGCATAACTATATTTCATATTTTTTGAAATTTTGGCAATCACTTAGGAAATTTCCTCTTCCGAAAACCATTCTCTCGAATCAAGTAACTTGTTATCCCTGTATGTAATATCTTTGAAATAATGGCATTTACTCAAGAAATTTACTTTTCCAAAAATAAAATCACTTTCATCAAAAGTACAACTGCATAATTAGTCGATTTTCTATAAAATGTATCTTTGAAAATCATACATCCGGTTTGAAGATTCCATTCACGAACTGCACTTTGAACTTCGGGAATAATTGTTGATTGAACCGAAAACGGAATGACGTTAACAGAGATACGTTTGCTCCGTTTAATCACGAACATTTTTCCTGATAGACACGCGTTGTTATTTTAAGAAGAAACACGAATACCGTTGATAAGCATATATAACGCTATATTTATATCAACACAAACACGATTCTGACTTGTGTATAGATTTAAAATAAATCAAATTAAGGTCTAGTTGTTAACACATCAAGCTTTCAATCATATCTGAAATACCGTAAATATAGTTGGACAGCTACTGAAAAGAAATTAATTTTGAAAGTATCAATAAACTTTATTATAAAGGTAAATGTTTCTAATTTATTTAATCATGTCGTGTACCAAGTGCAACTTATACCATTAACCAATATGTCGAGGTAAAGCTGACACAACTTTAAACTAACCGGGTAATGCTTTTGTCAAAACGGAGTGTTGAAATACAATACTCCACTATCTCAGTATCTATTGGTCTGAATTGAACAAGTATTGTCAGCTTGATGTTCATTTTTTTCGTGTCAATTTTTCAACTTCTATCAAAATGCATTGATTTATCTCTTTAGTGTGTAGCTTAATCGGACATTTTTTTATTTATTTTTTTATCTTTTTATATAATAAATACAAGATCAATCATTATCCTTATTTTCGTCATTAAGCTGACAAAAGAGTGATATATTGTTGATTTTACCGTTATATTCAAGAATAAGTTTTGCTTCATGACACATTACCTTTATGTAAAAATAGTTTTTGTGAAACCTTTATTTTTTTTATATTCGTTCCATAATATTTTGTTATTTTGTGTTATTCTTAAATATTTAATTCTTGATGTTGATTTAAAAGAAAAAAGGTTAAGATATTCAAAAACCACCTGTATGTGCCTTGAATAATCACTGACCGCCTTTTAACATCACAATCGTGTAAGATAACGAGATATCCATGTCTTTTGTTCGGAAGAATACAAAAAGACTGATCAAGCATGCTAGTTTAAACCTGACTTCGTCGAAGTCCAATAGCATATGCCTGTCACACATAGACTACGCAGTGAAGGAAACGGCTGTTGAAAATCATTCGGAATTTACACAGAAACAAGGTAAACAGGTGGGTCAATTTAGGGACATAATTGAAAAACGACTGTTGCATGTTATAAGAAATAATATGATTTAGTGATCATGTTTTGGATTTAACCGAATTTTGATATCAAACAAGACGCAAGATGTATGGTATGATACCAGGCATGAAAAATTGGGGTAACGATTAATGCAACTTATGTCAGTATTTCAGTTTCTCTGGTATCGTTGCACATACGTATATGCATATCGACATAACACTTCACTCATAATGTACTCTATGTAACCAGTATTGTTTTTTCTGGTAAATTGATGTGAAACAGTTATTCGATCAGCTAGTCAATAACTAATTGTAAACAAATAAAATATATATATAATCGTCTACAATAACGAGCTTCAAACCGACATGTTGGAAGCAAAATTCGCATAATAATGAATTATAATATTTCGAGGTTCCTATATACCGCTTTATCACAACCTAGTTTGTAGGTCGTCTCAAAGCGGTTCACAAATTATTATCCGTGGTTATAGGGCCTTTGCAACCAGCCAATATCTTTCTCAACTCCCTGTGGAGTATATAGCCGGCCCTGCCATTTCTGCACTCATAGCTAGCAGTCAAAAATTCTAGCATTGCCCAACCAATTACTCATTTACAGCAGAGTAGACTGTAACAAGCGGAGTAAAGTATCTTGTTCAAGTATACAGCACAGACTGATAATATTTCGAGGTTCTTATATACCGCTTTATCACAACCTAGTTTGTAGGTCGTCTCAAAGCGGTTCACAAATTATTATCCGTGGTTACAGGGCCTTTGCAACCAGCCAATATCTTTCTCAACTCCCTGTGGAGTATATTGCCGGCCCTGCCATTTCTGCACTCATAGCTAGCAGTCAACAATTCTAGCACTGCTCAACCAATTACTCATTTACAGCAGAGTAGACTGGAACAAGCGGAGTAAAGTATCTTGCTCAAGGATACAGCACAATGCTGTGACTTGACTCGAACACGCAACCCCTCGGTAACGAGCCCGGCGTCCTACCACTAAACTACCGTGCGTTATCGTATGTGTTATCTGTGCTGGTGTTTTCGATTAAAAATGTTTAATGTAAAGCATTGATTCAACATAAATTACGTTTTTTTCTCAAGCGAATTCTGTATACCAGTATTTTTTTTATGCAAGTAAACTATCGCCTTTTTCGCCCTTCGAATAAGGGTGAATCTATCATTACAGCTAATTTTAGTAAACAATATCAAATATATAGTAATCAAAAGAGAAATTCGAAATTAAAGCTGGTCGAAATAGGCTTTTAACCGGCGAAGGGCGAACGTTTGCACGTATCCTGGTTTATGGTTTTATAAAGGAATATTTAATTAGGAGTGCACGACTACTTTGAAGAACCACAACAGAAATGTAAATGTTTGTCTAAAGATTTATTGAAACAAAAATATGTAAGATTGTAAGATCGCCGATCCAAGCCATTCAAGGGAACAATTGTAGGCACAGCGCGTTGGTCGCGTGATTGGACGGTTATATTACTGATTTGTATAGATAATGATATGTACAGTTCAAAGGTACAGTATGTATACACAGTGCTTTGGTTACGTAACTGATTCATATCTCTGATTTCTATAGACAAGAAGTAGCAATTACATCGTCAATAGGTAAACTTTGAAATGTGTCGATTTGCTGATAGAATCTACGAAGATCTCGATTTTCATGAATTTATTTATAGTAAGAAATGGGTTTTTTTCACGGTAGTGAAAAGTTGGGGTATGAAATATGAGATCTGGTTTTTAAATGAGTTTTTGTAACGCAGATGGTGCGCACAATCATGCGATTAAGCAATCGTTCGTCCTGTTTTGACCTCATGTCCGCATATGTATACAATCTGTTAAAGTCGGTGGATCAATTTTACGAAATGGAAACTTGAAATAAGGGACGTTGTAGTTGTGTAAATATTTGTTAGTGTATTTTGCACTTGTGGAATTTTATTATGCATACAGCGCATGTGCATAATTACAGAGAAACCAAATAAGGGTCTTGACTCCCACGTGATAAACAGGAAAATTACATTTAGATGAGTGACCGGGAGTTTTCCCTGACCTGTGCCGGACACAGAAGGTTCATTTGTGATTTACAGTATGACCAATTATGTTAGCTCAACTGGTCTTGACTTGTTTGGTAATTGCGATTCTGTCGATCTATAGTTTTTCTTTGTGAGCCACCTGCGTCAGTCTTACACCTAAGAAAGTTAAGCAAGTGCCCCGAATGACGGGAACTGTTTACGCCATATTTTCAAGGGGCCGTAGTGTCGATATCTGTATTAACACGTGTCGATTGATGTCCTTCATTCATAAACATGAAAAACATAATTTCGTACCAAGCACACATACATATACAAATATATAAACCTGCGATCGGGCTAAAATATGGTAATATACATGTACCTTTAAATCTATATTATGAAGTTTTGAAACGAATTAAATTTGTTATATCATCTATTCTTATATTTATATCAACCATGATCGCCTTCACACATCGTTCGCCCGTTGTGTGTACAGGTGACGAATCGTACTCACACTGTGAGTATATAGTGCGCACACAGCACATCGTGTAACGTTGTGCGACCATATAACTGTATCTGAGATAGAGATTCCTTCAGGAAAGTAATGTTTGTATTGTCATATATCAACGCTCTCAACTTAAAAAGTTCGACATCTGGCATTCTTCAGTAACCGCTGATTTTTTAGATTTAAACTGATGAGATATACACTTCCTAGAATCAGAAACATTTGTGAAGCGCGCGATAAAGAACAGAAAACATACAGTAATTAAACTGTTTTAGAACGTTCGTGCTTAAAAAAGGGAAAAATATATTACCCTACAATTTAATGAATTAGCCAAGGGGTCTAAGGATAGAACTGTTTGGTTTTGAAAACGGGTGGCGCTCTTTTTTCAAAGGACAAGAATCAGCCTTGCGATTGGTCAGTTTGATTTACATAAAACCAATCAAACAGCCAACCGCGTGTCTTTCGAGAGAAAGTTAATTGGACTTCGAAGATGAATGCACGCCTACGTTACTAATATTATTAGCAAATGCAAGCAAACATATAATTTGTTATTTTTTGATCTTTTATAGTCGACAGTAGCTTCATCATGGTGTGCTGCACACAGACAATCTCGAAGTACGTCATCGTTATTTTGAACATAGTATTTATGGTAAGTTGAATCTGTGAGCTGTGACCAGGTACATTTTTGGATTTAGATAAAATGTAAGGGTAGCGTGGTATGTAAAAGGAATTTGTCCTTAGCTTACAAACTCGATATATTTTACCTGTATTAAAGTTTCAAGTGAACTTATGAAAAACAATCACCTTACCTGTAATTATGATTCTAGAAAAAAACCTGACACTCAATCTACTTATCTGTATTTGTGCTTCGGTATATAAATATATCAAATTCTATCTTCTCTTCTGTCTTCAAGAAAGATAACAACATTAACGGGTTCCCCATGACAAGCCGAGTCTAGAACTGTTTTTATAAATATCGCACTTAACTAAAACAAAAGTGACTTCATACTATTGTACGCTGTATGATTGTTCACCTGTTTCGTTCCTGTCTGTAGGTGCTGGGTATAGCTATCATTATACCAGGCATACTAATGTATCGTGCGCTGTATGATTGTCCACCTGTTTCGTTCCAGTCTGTAGGTGTTGGGTATAGCCAACATGATACCAGGCATACTAATGTCTTGTGCGCTGTGTGATTGTCCACCTGTTTTGTTCCTGACTGTATGTGCTGGGTATAGCTATCATGATCCCAGGCATACTAATGTATTGTACGCTATGTGGTTGTCCACCTGTTTCGTTCCTGTCTATAGGTGCTGGGTATAGCTATCATGATCCCAGGCATACTAATGTATTGTACTCTGTATGATTGTCCACCTGTTTCGTTCCTATCTGTAGGTGCTGGGTATAGCTATGATGATACCAGGCATACTAATGTATCGCACGCTGTGTGATTGTCCACCTGTTTTGTTCCTGTCTGTATGTGCTGGGTATAGCTATCATGATCCCAGGCATACTAATGTATTGTACTCTGTATGATTGTCCACCTGTTTCGTTCTTGTCTGTAAGTGCTGGGTATAGCTATCATGATAACAGGCATACTAATTTATTGTACGCTGTGTGATTGTCCCCCTGTTTCGTTCCTGTCTGTAGGCGCTGGGTATAGCTATCATGATACCCGGCATACTAATGTATTGTACGCTGAGTGATTGTCCACCTGTTTCGATCCTGTCTGTAGGTGCTGGGTATATTGTCCACCTGTTTCGTTCCTGTATGTAGGTGCTGGGTATAGCTATAATGATACCAGGCATACTAATGTACTGTACGCTGTGTGATTGTCCACCTGTTTCGTTCTTGTCTGTAGGTGCTGGTTATATTGTCCACCTGTTTCGTTCCTGTATGTAGGTGCTGGGTATAGCTATAATGATACCAGGCATACTAATGTATCGCACGCTGTGTGATTGTCCACCTGTTTCGGTCCTGTCTGTAGGTGCTGGGGATAGCCAACATGATACCAGGCATACTAATGTACTGTGCGCTGTATGATTGTCCACCTGTGTCGTTCCTGACTGTAGGTGCTGGGGATATCTATCATGATACCAGGCATACTAATGCTGAGTTTCGTTCCTGTCTGTAGGTGCCGGGTATAGCCATCATGATACCAGGCATCCTAATGTATTGTACGCTGTGTGATTGTCCTCCTGTTTCGTTCCTGTCTGTAGGAGCTGGGTATAGCTATCATGATACCCGGCATACTAATGTATTGTACGCTATGTGATTGTCCACCTGTTTCGTTCCTGTCTGTAGGAGCTGGGTATAGCTATCATGATACCAGGAATACTAATGTATTGTACGCTGTGCTATTGTCCACCTGTTTGGTTCCAGTCTTTAGGTGCTGGGTATAGCTATCATGTTACCAGGCATACTAATGTATTGTGCGCTATATGATTGTCCACCTGTTTCGTTCCAGTCTTTAGGTGCTGGGTATAGCTATCATTATACCAGGCATACTAATGTATCGCACGCTGTGTGATTGTCCACCTGTTTTGTTCCTGTCTGTATGTGCTGGGTATAGCTATCATGATACCCGGCATACTAATGTATTGTACGCTATGTGGTTGTCCACCTGTTTCGTTCCTGTATGTAGGTGCTGGGTATAGCTATAATGATACCAGGCATACTAATGTACTGTGCGCTGTATGATTGTCCACCTGTGTCGTTCCTGACTGTAGGTGCTGGGGATATCTATCATGATACCAGGCATACTAATGCATTGTGCGCTGTATGATTGTCCACCTGTGTCGTTCCTGACTGTAGGTGCTGGGGATATCTATCATGATACCAGGCATACTAATATATTGTGCGCTGTATGATTGTCCACCTGTTTAGTTCCTGTCTGTAGGTGCTGGGTATAGCTATCATGTTACCAGGCATACTAATGTATTGTATGCTGTGGGATTGTCCACCTGTTTTGTTCCAGTCTTTAGGTGCTGGTTATATCTATCATGATACCAGGCATACTAATTTATTGTACGCTGTGTGATTGTCCGCCTGTTTCGTTCCTGTCTGTAGGGGCTGGGTATAGCCAACATGATACCAGGCATACTAATGTACTGTACGCTGTGTGATTGTCCACCTGTTTTGTTCCTATCTGTAGGTGCTGGGTATAGCTATCATTATACCAGGCATACTAATGTATCGGACGCTGTGTGATTGTCCACCTGTTTTGTTCCTATCTGTAGGTCCTGGGTATAGCTATCATGATACCCGGCATACTAATGTATTGTACGCTATGTGATTGTCCACCTGTTTCGTTCCAGTCTTTAGGTGCTGGGAATAGCTATCATGATACCAGGCATATTAATGTATTGTACGCTGTGTGATTGTTCACCTGTTTCGTTCCTGTCTGTAGGGGCTGGGTATAGCTATCATGATACAAGGCAAACTAATGTATTGTACGCTGTATGATTGTCCACCTGTTTCGTTCCTGTCTGTAGGTGCTGGATATAGCCATCATGATACCAGGCATACTAATGTATTGTGCGCTGTATGATTGTCCACCTGTTTCGTTCCTGTCTGTAGGTGCTGGGTATAGCTATCATGATACCAGGCATACTAATGCTGACAAGTATCGACTTCCTCAGCGACAACATAAAACCATTGCTGGACAAAATATCCGTGAACGGACTTGATCTGGCGAACATCGCGAACAGTCTTCCAGTCATCTTTATTATCGTTGGCTTGACTATACTCTGCATAGCTGCGATTGGGTTGATCGGAGCCTGCTGTGAGCTCAGGATCCTGCTTGCTGTGGTAGGTAAACCTCTTTTATGTATTTTCGCGTGAACCTTTTACCTATTCGATATATAAACTTGCATTCTACCTATGCTACAAAGAAAGCAGGACTCCTCTGATCTTCGTCCTCGCCATTGCTTGTAGTTCTCAATCCATGTCTCCTTTCCCCGTGGTTGTACTTCTTTCTTTCCCTAGGTTGGTGTCCATGGTTGACTTTTTCCTGTAGTTGTATGCCTCCTACCCCCTTCGTTGCACGTCTATCTTTACCTTAGTTGGTCTACATGGTTAACTTTTTTCCTGTAGTTGTATGCCTCCTTTCCCCTTGGTTGTACGTGACTCTTTTCCTTAGTTTGTCTCCATTGTTGACTTTTTCCTGTAGTTGTATGCCTCCTTTGACCTTGGTTGTACGTCTCTCTTTCACTTAGTTGGTCTCCAAAGCCAACTTTCTCCTATATTTGCGTCTCTCTTTACCTTGGTGTGTCTCCATGGTTGACTTTCTCCTGTAGTTGTTTGCCTCCTTTGACCTTGGTTGTACATCTCTCTTTCACTTAGTTGGTCTCCAAAGCCAACTTTCTCCTGTATTTGCGTCTCTCTTTACCTTGGTGTGTCTCCATGGTTGACTTTCTCCTGTAGTTGTTTGCCTCCTTTGACCTTGGTTGTACGTCTCTCTTTCACTTAGTTGGTCTCCAAAGCCAACTTTCTCCTGTATTTGCGTCTCTCTTTACCTTGGTGTGTCTCCATGGTTGACTTTCTCCTGTAGTTGTTTGCCTCCTTTCCCCTTGGTTGTACGTCTCTCTTTCACTTAGTTGGTCTCCAAAGCCAACTTTCTCCTGTATTTGCGTCTCTCTTTACCTTGGTGTGTCTCCATGGTTGACTTTCTCCTGTAGTTGTTTGCCTCCTTTCCCCTTGGTTGTACGTCTCTCTTTCACTTAGTTGGTCTCCAAAGCCAACTTTCTCCTGTATTTGCGTCTCTCTTTACCTTGGTGTGTCTCCATGGTTGACTTTCTCCTGTAGTTGTTTGCCTCCTTTCCCCTTGGTTGTACGTCTCTCTTTCACTTAGTTGGTCTCCAAAGCCAACTTTCTCCTGTATTTGCGTCTCTCTTTACCTTGGTGTGTCTCCATGGTTGACTTTCTCCTGTAGTTGTTTGCCTCCTTTCCCCTTGGTTGTACGTCTCTCTTTCACTTAGTTGGTCTCCAAAGCCAACTTTCTCCTGTATTTGCGTCTCTCTTTACCTTGGTGTGTCTCCATGGTTGACTTTCTCCTGTAGTTGTTTGCCTCCTTTCCCCTTGGTTGTACGTCTCTCTTTCACTTAGTTGGTCTCCAAAGCCAACTTTCTCCTGTATTTGCGTCTCTCTTTACCTTGGTGTGTCTCCATGGTTGACTTTCTCCTGTAGTTGTTTGCCTCCTTTCCCCTTGGTTGTACGTCTCTCTTTCACTTAGTTGGTCTCCAAAGCCAACTTTCTCCTGTATTTGCGTTTCTCTTTACCTTGGTGTGTCTCCATGGTTGACTTTCTCCTGTAGTTGTTTGCGTCCTTTTACCTTGGTTGTACGTCTCTCTTACACTTAGTTGGTCTCCAAAGCCAACTTTCTCCTGTATTTGCGTCCCTCTTTACCTTTGTGTGTCTCCATGGTTGACTTTGTCCTGTAGTTGTTTGCCTCCTTTGACCTTGGTTGTACGTCTCTCTTTCACTTAGTTGGTCTCCAAAGCCAACTTTCTCCTGTATTTGCGTCTCTCTTGACCTTGGTGTGTCTCCATGGTTGACTTTCTCCTGTAGTTGTTTGCCTCCTTTCCCCTTGGTTGTACGTCTCTCTTTTCCTTGGTTGGTATTCATTATTTACTTTCTCCTGTAGTTGTGTCTCTCTTTCACTTAGTTGGTCTCCATAGCTAACTTTCTCTTGTAGTTGTATGCCTCCTATCCCCTTTGTTGTACATCTCTCTATTCCTTAGTTGGTCTCCATGGTTGACTTTCTCATGTAGTCGTATGCCTCCTATCCCCTTGGTTATGCGTCTCTCTTTGCCTAAGTTGGTCTTTTCCTTTGGTTCATGTCTGTTTGATTTTTAATTAAATAGGCACCTAACCATGCATTGCATAGTACTTGAATGTCACATTTTCTCTGGATTGATATCCTTGACTCTTGGCGGAACATCTCCAGTCCCCTCGGTTAGTCTCCGGGATTGCATGTCTCCTTTCGTTGTTGATTTCCCTTTAAATGTCCTTCATGACCCGTTGTTGCATCTTTCCCTTTGTCTTGGTTCTACGTCAAATTCTTTTCTGGTCGGCCTCCATGAATGTTGGTTGTGTCGTCTGTTCTCTTGAAAGAAACGCCTCTTTTTCTCTTGGTTATACGTCATAACGATTCTTGGTTGCACCTATTCCGATATAATAGTTAAATGGTATATTTCCTTTGAGTGTATGTCTCCTTTTATACTTGCCCTAACCATTTTTTATCGCTGTTGAGCTTTATTCGTTACATATACAAGCATCATTCTGCTCAGTAACCCTAGCAGCCATAATGACGTCACACTTCCCTTGCCTCTCTCTTGTATACACACGTATGACCGCAGTATCTGTCGGGGCAGCGGTGGCTAAGTAGTTGAAGCATCTGAACGTCTACAATCACTAGACATCCTCCACACGGCCACGGTTTCGAGGTCTACTTTTGGTAATCGGCAGGCACAAGCCAAATGTCGATCGTTTTGCTCCCTGCACTCCGGCCTCCCTCCACCACTAACGCCTGGTCCTTCCTTAAATGGCCATAGCTGTTGATAGGTCGTAAACCACAAATAAACCAAACCTAAAGAACACAGTTACTCCTACATAATCTGTCACTCGTCTTCATTGACGTTCTTACTCATGTTTGTAGCAAAGGAGTGTCTTTATCTGCCTTTAAGATCATATCTACATTGTATGATTTAATGTAAGTCAGGATGAATCGTTTTATATACGTACCTTACACATGTCTTAAGTATGACCAACATCTTTAATAGTATGATAAAAGCGATAGCATACATGAAACCTGTCAGTGTCCAATTTTCCCTCATGATGTGGGCTTACTACAGGAAGATGTATTCTGTCTGTGAGTCTATAGAATGGTCATGAGTCCCTAAGTTTTTGTGAAGAATTTCCGAACTAGATTGTTCTAATATTTTTTCGCCACTGGTGTCATAACTGAGGATCAGACATTTGAGTGATAACAATCAAATATTCCAGAGACGTGGACCTACCTAGTCAGTCTATAACACTGAGTCGTTGTTGTGTATATAAACACTACCATACTATTCAACATTTATCAAAACCTTATCCTGATTTTGGCAACCGTGCAAACCCGATACATGGCATTGGTATAAAGTCAAAGTTTCGGTTCATTGAATCTGTGACGTCAAACAATATCAATTAAGGATCATTGTACCACTGCCAAACAAATATCTAAGTATTGAAAATTGGTTTTTTTCCGGGATGATAATAACATTGATCAATCATTTCTGAAAAGAAACCCATACCTTGCTGGACTTTCATGCAAAATATTAAAGATAAAATAAAAAAAAAATCATCAACAACAGTGTTTTGAGTGTAAAAAACAAACCAGCGGGGCTAGACGGTGATCAACCTAGGGCCTGTATTCATAAAACCGTTCTCATGCTCAAGCATGCACTTTGTGCTCAAACCAACTTTCTTGTGACTCACTTAAATCATGTCAAACGATCAAAAAGTTAAAATGTAAATATTGAAAACAGTATTTGACTTTAAGTCGTTTCAAATGTGTTTTTTTTTTTTCAATCATTGATATAATAATATTTTATTATTATTTTATAACCGGAACAAGAAATCAGGCTTGAGCACAAAATCCAAGCTTGAGGACGAGAATGGTTTCATGAATACGGGCCACGGACTTCAGATTGGTGTACTTTCGCTCTAACCGATTGAGCAAGAGTAGTGCCTGTTAAACTTTGTTATACGTATTACTAAACGGGAGTAAAGGGGAGCTAACTGTTTACAGGAAAATCCGCAGTACAGTGGGGTAGGGATCCTTTACTATCATGGTCGCTATAGAAACAGGAATTGATACCCGTATGCTATATAAATGTAACTGTGTTTTTTATATATCTATTTCAGTACGGCATCATTGTTTTGGTACTGGCCCTAGCTCAGGTCGTCATACTGGCGTTCTTCTTCATTCTGAGGACTGGGGTATGTGCTATCAGTTTAGTAATAATTAAACGAATATAAAGCATGTAGCAGTATTAACGAACAGATTGCAATATCAATATATAGGGTCATGCTACAGATATATATCACAACATCAACCCACAAGGTATGACGTCTTAGCACATATATATATATAAGATACTACTGTTGTTTATAACATCCTCATTGGTTAGATCATAATCATGTTTATGACTCAGATTTCATTCGACAGTCCTATGATAAGCCCCTGTATTACCACACGGATTTCATTCGACAGTCCTATGATTAGCCCATATATGGGTACTCACATTTCATTCGACGTCTCTATGATAAGCCACTAGATAACCACTAAAATTTCGTTCGACGGTCCTATGACTATCCCCTATATTAGTTACAAGATTCCATTCGCCAGTCCTATGATTGGCCCCTATATTACTACTCAGATTCCATTCGACGCCCCTATGATTATCCCCTTTATTAGAACACAGATTTCATTCGACAGTCCTATGATTAGCCCCTATATTAGATCTCAGATTCATTCGACATACATATGATTAGCCCCTATATTATAACTCAGATTTCATTCGAAAGACATATGATAAGCCCCTGTATTAAACCTCAGATTTTATTCGACAGTTCTATGATTAAAATTCGACAGTCCTATAATAGGCCCCAAAATTACTACTCAGATTCAATTCGACATTCCTATGATTAGCCCCTATAATATACCTCAGATTCCATTCGACAGTCCTATGATTAGCCCCTATAAAACTACTTAGATTGTTCGAAGGTCTTATGCTTAGCCCCGATATAGCTTCTCAGATTCCATTCTACGGTCCAATGATTAGTCCCTAGATTACTACTCAGATTGTATTCGACAGTTTTATGATAAACCCCTATATTACTACTCAGATTGTATTCGGCAGTCCTAGGCTTAGCCCCTATATTCCTACTCAGATTGTATTCGACAGTTCTATGATAAGCCCCTATATTAATACTCAGATTGTATTCGGCAGTCCTAGGCTTAGCCCCTATATTCCTACTCAGATTGTATTCGACAGTGCTAAGCTTAGCCCCTTTATTACTACACAGATAGCATTCGACAGTCCTATGCTTATCCCGTATATTACAACTAAGAGTGTATTCGGCAGTCCTAAGCTTAGCCCCTATATTACTACTCAGATTGTATTTGACAGTCCTATGCTTAGCCCCTATATTACTACTCAGATTTAATTCGGCAGTCCTAGGTTTATCCCCTATATTACTACTCAGATTGTATTTGACAGTCCTATGCTTAGCCCCTATATTAAAACTAAGGTTGTATTCGATGGTCATATGATTAGCCCCTATATTACTACTCAGATTCCATTCGACGGTCTTATGCTTAACCCCTTTATTAGTAATCAGATTCCGTTCGACGACTCTATGATTAGCCCCTAAATAACTTCTCAGATTGTATTCGACAATCCTATGATTAGCCCCTATATTATAACTCAGATTCATTCGACGGTCAAATGATTAGCCCCTATAATATAACTCAGATTCATTCAACAGTCCTATGATTATCCCCTATAATATAACTCAGATTCATTCGACGGTCCTATGATTAGCCCCTATAATATAACTCAGATTCATTCGACAGTCCTATGATTATCCCCTATATTAGATCTCATATTCATTCGACAGACCTATGATTAGCCCCTATATTAGAACTCAGATTTCATTCGACAGACCTATGATAAGGCCCTATATTACAACTCAGATTTCATTCGACAGTTCTATGATTAACATTCGACAGTCCTATAATTAGCCCCAAAATTACTACTCAGATTCCATTCGACAGTCCTATGATTAGCCCCTATATTAGGACTCAAATTCCATTCGACAGTCCTATGATTAGCCCCTATATTAGTACTCAGATTCCATTTGACGGTCCTATGAATAGTCCCTAGATTACTACTCAGATTGTATTCGACAGTCCTAGGCTTAGTCCCTATATTACTACTCAGATTGTATTCGGCAGTCCTAGGCTTAGCCACTATATTACTACTCAGATTGTATTCGACAGTGCTAAGCTTAGCCCCTTTACTACTACACAGATAGTATTCGACAGTCCTATGCTTAGCCCCTATATTACAATACAGATTGTATTCGGCAGTCCTAGGCTTAGCCCCTATATTACTACTCAGATTGTATTCGGCAGTCCTAGGCTTAGCCCCTTTATTACTACTCAGATTGTATTCGACAGTCCTATGCTTAGCCCCTATATTAGAACTAAGGTTGTATTCGACGGTCATATGAATAGCCCCTATATTACTTCTCTGATTCCATTCGACGGTCTTATGCTTAACCCCTTTATTAGTACTCAGATTCCGTTCGACGGTCCTATGATAAGCCCCTAAATAACTTCTCAGATTGTATTCGACGGTCCTATGATTAGCCCCTATAATATAACTCAGATTCATTCAACAGTCCTATGATTATCCCCTATATTAGATCTCATATTCATTCGACAGACCTATGATTAGCCCCTATATTAAAACTCAGATTTCATTCGACAGACCTATGATAAGGCCCTATATTACAACTCAGATTTCATTCGACAGTTCTATGATTAACATTCGACAGTCCTATAATTAGCCCCAAAATTACTACTCAGATTCCATTCGACAGTC